TAAGATTAAATCCTAATATCCTATAATCTGATCCACAAGAGTGAACCCATATCTGCAGTCCCATTAACTTCAGTGAAGCTCTGTGTGGTTGAAATCTATACTTGCAGCCCTCTGTGCCCGAAACCAGTTTCAGAATAAAGACCATTAGTTGTCCCATTAAATCCCTCCAGTTCATACTTTTCCAAAAACTGGTTAAAACATTCTCGCCTATGGTACTGATTGGATGTTCAACTCCCCATCCTATTTTCTTTAGCTAACCAACCCTTTCTAAACCTCTCAAAGGAATCTGTTCAACCCTTATAAATTAAAATAAACCATAGAAAAAACATACAGCATGCATTCACTCCATCTGAGATCAAAGCCCTGGCACAATTGAACCTCATTCTTGCTTACACACCAATTATTACCATTGTTAACTGCATGACAAAAAAAGGAACACACGTAGCAATGTTTTACATAAATAAACTTACCCCACCACCTGCTGCTCATAGTGGTCTACATGAGGATCACAGAGTGCCATGCATTTATTAAAATATTCTGTGAGTCATATGCAAGAAAATACATTGCAAGTAGCTTCATAGCCAAAATAAGAAATAGCAAACATACTTCAATACTGAAGTACCCTCTGTCCACATAGTCCCCTAAGAAGAGATACCGCGTGTTGGCAGGAGAGCCTCCCACTTCAAACAGTTTCATCAAGTCAAAGAATTGTCCATGGATGTCCCCACAAACTAGGAGAAATAGAAACAGCAGTTGGTTACATTGCACTATATTTGTTAAGAGAACATTTTTAACCATTGACTCTATGAAAAATACAATGATCTAATCTATTGCTTACGAATAGATATTTTTGTGCATCTTCTTACAAGTTGTACACACATGATTAGTGATGATTTGCTACTGGTTAGCAGGAGTTGATGACCCTTTGTCCTTAAGCATATCTACTTTTTTTGTTGTTTTTTTTTTTTTACATGCATGTATACCTATTCTACAAAGGTACCCAAATATGTTGTTTTTAAGGCCAGTGTATTTCATTATTTAACAAAACGAACAACTCCCAACACATTACAATGTATTTAAACTCATTTAATTTTGAAAGACCTCTATCCATTGCCCAAGACACTTTGTATGAAACAAAAAAAATGTTGAAGTAATCACAAGATGAACCCAAAATGTTCCTGGATAAGTAACTATGGCCAACATAAATCAAATCCATCAGGCAATCTTAGTTCTTCTTCCACCTAACACCATGTCTTATCCTGTCCAATCCTCAAAGGCACAAAAGTAACTCATCTGTGTAGCAAGTATGGAACGTTACAAACATGGCAAGCCAACAGTTACAAATCAGTTTATGCAAATTTTGCACCTCTGGATTTTACAACATGAAGAAACATGATACAAAATAAATGACTTCCTTACCCAATGCTTATTACACAAGAAAAGTGTACCTATTATAACAGCTTACTGGTGATGTTCAAGTTTTACAATTACAATTTGCTGTAATTTGACAGAATGACTAATATTTTCTTTGTAAACAACTGTACCCACTTTTATATCAAACAACAAATTCACATGAGCTTTTGCATCAGTTTGTATGTAAAGGTCTCATTCTACCAGTACCATGCTTCAAAGATGGAGTAAAGACAATAAAAGTACTCTGTAGAGATACAAAGTTATTACATACAATGACAGCTGTAATAAAGTTAAACCAAATTAACAAAGCCACAGCAATGCAAACATTAATCATATCTCATTTTCTTTTGTCACAGCATGGTGTCACTTTATCGTTACCCTTTCATTTTAAGAAAAGAAGAAATTAAATTCTCATTTTTCCTAATACATACATTCAGAATAAAAAAAACCCTCAATTATTTAATTATAAACACAACTATAGGGTCTCCTCCTGAAAACATACAGCAACAGAAAAGTAGTGGAATAAATACATAAAAGCATTAATCCTGCAGCCCTTATTACATGGTTACTACATGGGCTGCAAGGAGCTGTGCTGGGGCCAGGGACCTGGAAGCTGCACCTGCATTGCCATTGCTTCTCCCTGCCCCCTGACGGCAATATGGGTGCAGCTTGCAACTGGTGGGAACTTGAGCCTGAGCCAGGCCCAGGCAGCTTTCAGCTGCACTTACGCTGCAGCTGGAAGATGTGGTGGGGAGAGAAGCAGCAGAAGTGCAGACCCTGGCACAGCTCCCCACTGGCTGGAAGCTGTGCCTGAGCTGCAGCCAGGGAGTGTGGGGTAGGGGTGAAGGTGTAGCAGCAGTAAAGTCACAGTTCCCAGGTGCCTGGACCTGGCACAGATCCCATCTGGCTAGAAGCTGCATGCACACCTCCGCTGGGGAGCGGGAGGCTGGGAAAAGCAGCAGCAATTCCTTCTTGCTGCTGATGTGCCACCAAAGCCACTCGTGCCAGGCTGGAGATGGGTTGTTCTAGCCCGTGGCTTGAAAGAGTTCTCTACAACATGGCCATTTTCACCTCTGATTAGTATATATATATCTTTATCTCACACTGAAGACACTCAGGACTGATACTGTGTAAATTCTGAGTACACCAAGCTAAATACTTTAAATTCTTCATTCAGCAGCACTCAAGGTCAATGTCAAACCAGCAAGGTCAAGGTAAGGCTTTGGTCTGTAACTCTTAGGAGAAGCTTTTTTGTGAAATACTGCCAGGATCCAGTCCTTAACACCCAAACTTTGGAGTCAGGGACTGGGCACAGCTTGGCCCTCCACCACGTTGCCAATCCCTGCTCTCTAGTTATACCTATACTCGATAAAGGACAGCCAGTTTTTGGCCATGCCTCATGCCAGATCGAGACCATGGGGCTCCTCAGGCACCAGATCCAAGGGACAAGTGACTGTGGTGGTGTCATTGAGGCCAGCAGCTTCAGGTTAAGTGGCTGCAAGACAAGCAAGGCAGTGTTGCTTGTTTCCCACCCCTACTGCCGCTAATCATGTCCAATGGGGCCCTAGATTCTGCAACAGGCCATACACCATGCTAGCCATAACTCCCAATTCCCTGCCCTGCCAGTAGCATGGCTGGCTCCATGAAGCAACTGAACAGACCGAGCGTTTGATACCCATACCTTATAACTATGAAAAATTAATCAAATTAAAAAACAAGTACTCAACATAATACAAAAAAAATTCCTGCAAAGCTCTTTTTTAGAGATCAATTGTTACTGTGAGTAGTCAAGAATTCTGAAATAACAAGAACACCAACAATGATTTGCTGTTGCTTTATCTAACAGCCCTGCCCAAAAAAAAAATCCAACAAAAAACAAAACAGTGGACTTCTCTGACTAGGCACAGTGCACAGCTTAGAACTGTCACAGATCGAAAGCCAGGCAAAATAATCCCTTCAATTCGGACAGAAAAGCTTTTTCAAATTCACTGCACAATTGTAACAACTAAATTCCCCTACACAGAGTTAAACATGGTTGAGAGATTCTGAATAAACTGTAGCATTATCATGACAACAGGAGGAAATGTTTGCTTTTTGGGGCTAACATGTGTGTGCATATGTATTTGCACAAAAACAAAGAGGTCATTAAAGAAATTACACATAAGAAAGTTCCATTTCCATCAATTAGTTACCAAAGGGAAGTGATGAGTGAGAATGCTAATAAGCAGGATAGAAATACCATTTTCAGAATTCTGCCCCTTTAAATTTTATCATCATTAAACACTTGATGAGAATCCCAGATATTTTACACAGTGTCCAATTCATACCTAATGCTTGGCTGGCTACATACAGTGTGGTTATGCTCAGAAACAGCTTTGAAAAAAGAAGCTTCTTGAAAATTGAAAGGAAAAAATAAATCCAAACCAGTTTGCTCCTGACCAGTGGAAGCAGTTCTGAATCATAAGCATAAATGTAAGAGGGAAACCAGTGGACAGAAGAGATGACAACCATTAGATTAGGATAATGTATTATGGCCATGTCTCTGTTAGAGGGCCATAATATTATGCACAATTAACCCAATATGCATTTTTGCATGGAAGACTAAAAATAGCTGCAGAACATTTTGTTTCCCAGATTTAAATATACACCTTTACAGACTTTGAGAACAGCCTCAGTGAACATCTAGATACAGGATGTCAGAGGAGAATCAGTGGCCATTAATTTTAAGCTTCATCAGATACAGTGTCTTGGCAAAAGATACCAATTCTTTTGTAATGGATTCTCATATATGTAAAGGATAGAGAGAAACAAAAATGAATCAAACAACTTAACATCCTAACATTTTCCATTAAGGCGGCTGGCAAAAATATTACTTAACTTCCATGTTATAAAATATAGTCATATCTTAAAAACTGCCTACTTACAGGACATGATGCTGCTATCAAGATAACCTTGCACTACTAAACCACAAGCAGTGAGGTAGCAGATGTTATTCCACAACCTCTCCATACTGTCAACTTCCTAAGGACATTGGAACCTGAACAAGTTATTGCAAAGTAAATGAAGGCAGGGATTTACAGTGTGTCAGATACTCAGGGTAACTTCATGTAGGTATGCTTTTTCCCTGTAATAAATGAAAGCTTATCCCTTTCCTTCACTGAAATCCAAGCTACTATGAGCTAAGTATTCATCATATTCACCTACTGCAGAAATGAAATGCACAACAGAAACTTTTTTCACTAGAAATAAACTATGAGTAATCAAGCATTAGAGGGTGCATACAGGTACTCTAAAGTTACCTGTAGAAATGGCAATAAAAACAATATAAACTCTACTAGATGAGAAACTTTCTCAGCATACATTTGGATATCACTGACATTTCTTTACTATGTTTTCCAAAAAAAACCCCAAACCTTCCTTCTTTTAGCTGTCTTGAACAAATTGGTGTTGTCTTTTGGTATGGTATGAAATCCTTCCGTTCAGAAACAAAATGGAATTATCATATCAGCACAGCAGTATTTTGACCACAGAAAAGATGCAACTAAAGATACTAGTGTTTTAAAATTGGTGAGCTTGACTTATTAGAACAGGGGCGGGCAATTATTTCTCTGCTGCTGTAAGAAAGTGTGGGTGGGTATGGGGTTTGTGGGGGAATGTGTGGAGGGAGTGTGGCTGGGGTGTGTGAGGGGGGGGT